AAATCATACATTGTATTTTTCTGGATTTTTGTTTTAGATTCCATCACTCACAGTTGAAGAGTACCTATGATAAAAATTACAGTCATCTACAAGCTTTGCAAGTGGGAAAACCTGAAAAATCAACAGTATCAAATACTTGTTCTCCCCACTGTGTGTGTGTATATATAATGAATGCTGCATGTGGTGGCATTTACTAAAACATCAATGCCACATAATAAACAACTACGGATTATAATGAGTTTATTTAAGAATGTATTAGAAATGTATCTTAAATAGTCAATTTTTGAGCTTCTGGGAGAAAAAACAAGCTCTACATTTAAAAATATTTCTTTCTGTGTAAATAAATACGTGCATAGCTTACCTTGTAATAGATACTCCATCATATTGATTGTGCCTCCGGTGACAGGCATCACAGTGACAGGAGGAGCCTCCATTTTTTTTCTAGTTAAGTTTGAGCCTTTTGTATAAACTGGACAAAGACAAATAAAGTTTATTATGAGACAAACGTATTATCTCTTTATATTTAACCTAARAGACTTTAATGCTGACCTAACAGTTAACGGGACAAATGGGTAACCTCAACTTTATTTTTCGTATTTACGTTTACAGGTAACATTTTTGTCCTGTTAACTTTTCGGAGTAATGCAAGCCACAGCTAACAGGCTAAAATGCAGCTGCTAAGCCGCTTGATTCAAAATAGTTTACAATGTATCAGCGAAAGTGTTTGTATTTTTACCTGAGAAATGGTGAAGAGCACAGCGCTTATTGTCCGAATCTGCTGTAGTGAACCAGGTAAATGGTGGCGACTATCTTTCTGATAAACCCCTGTTAATTTAGCTTAATCAGACAGCTTGTTAGCTTCCCTGCTAGCTGAAAGCTAGTTCGCCAAGTTTGCTATCAATGAACCACACACGTTTATCTACCACTAGTGTTAAATTATCAACACTGTTGAAAATGGGCGTGARAGCGTTGCAAAGAAAAGATGTATCCAATTAAAAGAAACATGCATTTTTCTGTAAGAAAACGTGTATTTAAAAAAAAGAGTATTCCGCGGAATAAACATCGTTTGTTGGCTAATTCGATAAAACCACTGTCTTCTTCTTCCTCTTTTCGTTTATTGGCGGATTACAAACAACTTTCAGGTGCATACCGCCACCTACTGTACAAGAGTATGCAACTCCATAGCCTCCACAGTATAAATTCTATTTTTTAATTTTGTATTATGTAAAAATAATAAATAACGCTTTCCTAATATCTCTTATTTCTTCTTCATTCCCTTCTGTTCCCAAAAATCCTTCCAAACTCCATTGTCGCTCTGCCTCTCTTACTGTTTTCAAAACCACTGTCTGTCAAACAGTTTCACGACTTTTTACTGCCATCTACTGGTCGTATAGAGACTAGCCACAATACTTACCTTAAAACCTCTAACCTCTTATGAAAGATTGAATGACAAAAGAAAAAAAATACACGAGTAAATGCAACAATTTTATTTTATTAAAACAAGTGTTTTTTGCCTTAAAAGTACACTGCCACATGGATGTAAATTAATATCATGAGTGTTTCAGTATGGGGTAAATTTGGGTTCATTGCACCTTGAATAAATTGCTGAAACAATGCACAGTGTAAGTACTGTATGTAC